AAAAGTTTCACTGTTTTTAAGAAAACCAACAAATTATCCGCAATCATGAGTTCAGATATAACATTTCCTAATATTGCTCTTCCGATTGCATAACAAAATACTATTGAAAACAAAATAAGGAAATCTTATCTAAATACGATTCTAAGATGGTCGTTATATTATCAGCTTCGGCTTTACGGCTTCCGAGCTTGATATAAAATGATAATCCAGCAGTCGAAAAACTAAAACAGTGAATGACGATCGTGCCTCCGCTTGTTTGCATTTCTGTGTTTATGTAAATGTAGTTCAGGGTTCAGTGCGCGGAGGAAGATGCGCAGTGACTGTGCGCACAAGTTGTGGTTACAGAGGTCCGTGGGGCCGATGGTAGAGAATGGTAGGACGCAGGTAACTAGTATATTGTTCCATTTGGGCCGGTTTTCCGGCCGGAAGGCACGTGACTGAGTGACGTAATTTGAAAACATTCCAAGTTCCGTTCTGCGTAAACGTGTCTGTAATACTACAATAAAGCCATGCTCATACATACTGCCTGCTTAGATTTACAGATTTGATATGTTCTATGCAAATTTATAACAAAAGAAACAGTTTTTTTTTATTTGCCCAACTTTCGAAAGTAAAAGGAAACCCCTGAACGGCCACGAGCGTAAGCGCTGACGTCAGGTAACTAAGGGAAATGGAACAAGCAACGAGAAAGTGGTGTACCAATCAGAATGCCGGAACCGTTACTAGTTACCGGCCTCTTGTGGCTTGGTACGCCATGACACTTGAGGCGGGAACCAGCCAAATACTACCCTGGCATACTAAAACGCTCATGGGTAGACGCTTGTTTGTAAACAATGACACACTGTCGGGCATCTGACGCATGCGCAGGTGACGACACCCGCTTTAAGCTCGTGCTCACTACTAGTATTTACATTTATAATCTGAATTTGTATTAACATGTGCTTACCTGCAATATCGTCACGTGATCACCGAAATAGTAGCAAAATAATGCAATCACATTATTAGTTTTAGAAACTCTTAGAGTCTTGTTTCATCAATATTGTAAAAAGACAATGCAGTGAATGGTGATAATAAGGGGTAATACAAAAATAAATTGCGTACTTATAGGAAGGTAAAAACAAGCTTTGGTCTGGAACTGTCATGTTTCTACAAATTAAAAAAAATGCGCTTGGGGGATCTATGATAAATTGACGATAAGTACGCATGTGCTTCAGATAGAAGGGACTCGGAGACACCAAACATTGTCAATAAGAATAGAACATGTTCCATATGTACTACAAATAAATTAGAATGCGAGGAGCATATTCTCATCAATATGAAAATGAAATGACCAGTCATACCATGATAAACTGATTACCTTTCAAACAAACAAAAATGATAAGATAACCAGGGAAGTCTGTAAAATCATTGATAACTGCTTCACACATTATTACCAAACGCTTCAGCGTGGTATTAAGAATTTGTTTTCAGGGTTGGGTGATACCAAGGCTGAAA